AAGTAGCTATCCACAGCTGAGATTGGCCCAAAATAGCATGTTCTTCCTGCCGAGAGAAGCAGCAGCTTATCAAAGAGCTTAAACGTCGTGGTGGATGGTTGGTGGATACTCGCAATGATGAGAAGCTATCATGACTAATGTTAGCAACAACAAAAAACCCATCTGATATGAACGTACATTATTGGCCCGCGCAAGCTCCTTTGCATATGACATAACCTCAAAACTGGCAGTCGAGTCTAGACCGCTTGTGGGCTCATCCAAGAACAAAATCCTTGGATTCGTGATGAGCTGGCTGGCCACACTCACGCGTCGCTTTTGACCACCACTAATACCTTTCCGGATCGGGGTGCCAACCAACGTGTTTGCCTGGTTCTGGATACCGAATGCATCCAAAAGCGTCCGGATCCGGTCCATTCGTTGGCGTTTCGACACAGAGCTTGTAGATAGAAGTGGTAAGTATTAGAATGTATATGAGATTAGACGGCTGTTATTCCAACCCGACATACCTGGGCAACGACAGATCCGCCGCAAACTTCAATGTCTCCTGTACCGTCAACGACCCGATCAACACATCTTCCTGCTCGACGTACGAGGTCACCCGCTGGAAATTCCTCGAGTCCATTTGTGCATCATTCACGTAGTTCTCCCCGCGAACCTTTGCACCAGCTGACGCAGCACGCCGAGCAAGCACGTTGAGTAGTGTTGTCTTGCCGCAGCCTGATGGGCCCATTAGGGCAACGAGCTCCCCTGTATAACGCGCATCAATATGAAAATCTTGATATAGATCATGGACAAGGATAACAAACCATGCTGCACATCACCGCTGATATCATTGATCAGATCGCGGGATTTTTTTGTTTCCTGATCCTTGACGGTAACCGTTAATCCTTGCCACGAGAAATTCCGAACGGTCTCGTTCATCAAGAAGTGCCCGCTGTCATTTCGCTCCAGGTCCGGGGACCTGGGTGCGTTCAAGGATGAGGGATTGCCCATGCTGCAAGATAATGTAGAAGGTTTACAGCAGATACGAGAGAATTGGAATGCAAGCCACGTCCAGGTTCGCAGGCTCAGGTTTTATAATTTCAAACACGCCTATATTACATGTACCCAGACCCACGGACTTACAAATCCCTGTCTAGCGTCGAGACCCGTGGACAAAGGCCTTCTTACGTGTCCGGGGTGGTCCCCGACTAAGGCTGAATATAGGGCTCATCTTTGAGACTTGAGCCCGAGCTGACATAAGATATCTGATGGTCCCCGATTCCCCGAGAGACGCCGTCCTTTACTGGATAACGGGCCGGGAGAAAAGTCATAAGCGTAGATAAAATTCCCCAGATAAAGATTCCACAAACAATAGTGCTTCTGGCATGTGGGGTGCAGCGTAAGGGTTGTAAGATATGTGGACGGGGTCCAAACACCGATCCCCGTCGGGGATCGGCCACTATTCTTTTTCTTAACAATTCCGGCGTTAAAAAAAGCAAATAAAAGAAAAGAAAAGAAAAGAAAAGAAAACATTAAAGGGGAGATCTAAGAAATATTTCGTTAAAAGAAGAAGCAGAATGCCATTTTTATTCGTCCCGCTCTTGGCGCCCAATGCAACTAAATTAAAATCAATGTATACCAAAGACACCAGTCTTTGAGGAATACCGAGTGAAAATACCACACAGAAAAGTAAGCAAAATCGAGCGTATAAGCCAGATTTACATACTAGATTGGATGAGTCAGCGATCGCTTTTTCAACAAGAGTGGGAAAGACTAACCGCTGAACAGGGCTGAGACCAAGAACGCGCATGCCGTTGTTCAGAACTTGGCGGGCCGAGGCATACAATGCCATACGCGCCTGCTTGACATCGGGCTCGCTACCGATCACCTTAAGAACATCGTAGCTAGAGCTCAACATGTGTGTCATACGGAACAGATAGCTGAGAACAGTGATGGGCTCAAGAGTCTTGGCAGTCTGCAGGAGTACGTCGGGCCATTGGGCCAGGAGGCGGACCAGGTCGACAGCGTGCTGCTCGGTCAAAAGATCGAAGTTGGCGTTGACCAACTCGTCAACGTCCAACTCGGACTTGCGGGTCATCGAGCACAGACGAGCGTGAGCGTACTGCAGGTATGGGCCGGTGTCACCCTCGAAGGATGTCATGGCATCCAGGTTGAAGTCATAGCCGTTAATGCTACAAAGGAACATACAGTTAGTAAACTAATAGACGGAAGTAGGAGGGGGAAACACTCTGTACATACCGCTTGCCAGTCATGTCTTGCACCATAACGGAGGTGATACCCAGAATATCAGCAGTCTTTTCAGGATCCTCGACCTGTGAGTACTTGACTTCGTTCTTCTTCATGACCTCGTGCATCTTGTCACCAACATCGTGCAGGATGTCATCCAAGAACTTGACGGTACCCTTACGAGTACTCATACCACGGACCATACCGAAGTTGATGTGCTGGCAACGAGAGGCCAGGTCCTTGTGGCCCATAAGTTCAGTGACCTTGAAGAGCTGAGCCAGGTGGAGATCCTGCTGAGCGGCGACAACGTAGATCATCTTGTCAAAGTGGTACTCGTTATCACGCTCGGTGATGGCACCGATATCGCGGGTCAGGTAGAGAGGAGTGCCATCCTTGCGGACAATGATAGCCTTGCCCAGCTTCTTGGCACCGTGCTTGGTGAAGTCGACGATAACAGCACCCTCAGACTTCTCGGAGACACCGGCCTTCTCCATAAGCTTGTAGGCCTCGCTCATGCTCTCGGACTTGATCTGAGATTCACCGGAGTAAACATCGAAGTCAATGTTGAGACGAGCGTAGGTCTGCTTGTACTTCTCAATACTGAGGTCACGGAACTTGCGCCAGAGAGCAAGAGCCTCCGGGTCACCGTCCTCCATACTCTTGAAGTAGCGACGGGCCTTTTCGTCCTCACTCACGTCCACAAGCTTGGCAAGCTGTGCCTCGAGCTCAGCAACGTCCTCGTTCTTCTCGTTCTTCGCCTTGATCTGCTCCTTCAGCTCCTTGATAGGTCCATCCTGTTCGCTGACATTACGGTTGATCTTGACGTAGACATCGAACAGGTGGTTGATAGGGTCTTTGATAAGAGCTTCCTCACTGCCGAATTCCTTGAAGCCGTTGGCGAGCAGACCATACTGCTTACCCCAGTCACCCAGGTAGTTCATTTTGATGACGTCCCATCCCATAACAGTGTAGATATTGGCGAGGAAACCACCGATGATAGTACTGCGCAGATGACCAGCGTGGAAAGGCTTGGCAATGTTGGGCGACGAGAACTCGATGATGATCTTTTTCTGGCCCTTAGAGGGGTCGGAGGGGTCCTTCTGACCCTGGTTACCATTTGTTCCATAGGCGGCCTTCTCCTTTAGGATACGGCCAAGAACATTGCTGGTCAATGGCTGAGGCTTGCAGAAGAACTGGATGTGAGGACCAAGCTGGGTTGGAGGGTGAATAAGGTCGGAGGCGGGGAACTTGGAGACAAGATCCTTGGCAAGCTCCACGGGGTTTTGCTTAATCTGAAGAGAAGCGACCTAATCATATGCAACAAGATATTGTTAGTCCAGGGACTCATAGTCATGCAGAACATGCGAATTGCGCAAGGCACATGCCGCCACATACCGGCAATGAAAGGTCACCCTTGTCCAAAGTACTGGTCCAGGCAATGCGCGGGTAGATCTTCTGAGCATCGATACCAGAGGATTTGCTCAACTCCTCTGCGATGTGCTGGCGGTAGATATCGATCGGGTTCAGTGTTGGGAAGCAGCCAGCGAACTGAGACTTCTGTGCTGTGGATTGGAGCGACAGAGCCTCAACAGAGGCGGGAAGGGAAGCTGCGGACATGATTGGGAATCCTCGTGTACCGAATGCACGTATCAAAGTCGGAAAAGTCGAAGATTTAGAGGGGCAACGCAACGGAGAAAAAATGGCTGTGAGTCGCCGAGCCCCGCTTAGACAATGACCCATAAAGAGGGGGAAATCTCTCGGGGGATCTTTTTTTTTTTTTTTTGCCTTTTTCTTTTTCTTTTTCCCTTCCCTTTTTGACTCAAGAGGTCTGACTCAAAGAGGGCGGTGAGTCACGTGGCTATTCGGCTCTTATCAATTCTTGTGACGTCACTTTTAAACGTGATCCACTGAAACCCTACTTGAACTATAGGTCTCAACAGGAGAGTTAGATCACTTTGACATGTCGAGATCGGTTACTTGATCCCTGGTGACTCTCAGAAACCAAATACACAGTTTCAACGACAAACTTGAACTTCGACATGCAGACTATCACGCATCTTGGCGAATGATCCAGGACGATCCTAATACAATCGATTACTTGACATTGATCATGTCAATGCCTACGTCTTCAAAGCCTCTCGTTATTGAGAGGACAATTGTGATGAGCCAAAGTGGGAGGATTGTGTGGCTATACTCGACTTCTCTTGGTCTCGACACAAGCTGCAAGTCCAATCACTCTTCGGCGTAGTACAAATTTTCAATGCTGTTTGGAGACAGAGTTCTATGGCTCTTACAATTACGAATTACGAGAGAATATCCACAGACCTTTTGAATATGACTGTGAATATTATTGAAGTGCATTGAATAAATGTCTACTCTAGCAGTTTCATCTCATCTCATAGCAGCGTCTCTATATTTCTTTAGCAAGACAAAGATATAGAGAACTCAGCAAGTGTTTAGATTCTAGAACTAAAATGCAACACAAGACGTACGGCTTTAGTCTTGTAAAATGCCGGGAATTACACAGGCACTTTGGACTTGTCAGAAGTGCGTTAGGGGTGGCGGTACAGAGAGGGTAGGAACACATGGAGTGAAATGTACTGGCGTGAAATCACCTCCAATCCAGATTCTCACTCCTACCTTGCGGCGCGACAACCCCCCACCCATCAATTTCCGTTGTCAGTAGTAATCTATCTTCTTTCTTCCTTCCTTTTACCAACGAAGTACTTACATTCACAGGGATCTAGCAGCCCCGTACAGGGTACGACTCCATGGATTCCCACGAGTGGCTGTTGGCCACAAGCATCGATCCCAATCTGGATCCTCAGCTTGCCCAGTTGATGGAAATTCCGTTGCAAATCAAAGCCGAGCCCGATGAGGCCCAGACTGGCATCGCGACTGCTGTCCCCGATGTGTCTTCGTGGCCGCATGGTGATTGCTGGCAAAGCTCTCGTCCCATCGAGCCTACATTCTGGGCGTAAGTACTCACCCTAACGTGTCAAACACGTCCCAAACATGTGTACCTCATATGTGTACTCCTGGCTAACATAATATCAGTCCCAACGCCAAGCTTTGCGACTGCCCCGAGCACTCTGAAACCACTTGGCCAGCCGAGCATGCTATTCTTGTAAAGCTCTCGAGCGTTTGAGATTTCCAATTTATGCTTATTTGACTGACACATTTACCACTCAGTTCATCCCGGACTGTGCAAAGCGATGCCCTTACTGCCCGTGGAAGACTGACAAGTCGGCAAAGGTTGGAAACCCGGCCCCGATGGTGCGTCGACACATACGCCAGTATCACCTGGTGAGTACTACACACACTGAACACAACATACTTCATGTTAATTCAGCTTAAAAGAAACATGGCAACTACTATCCCGGCATTAGCGTTGAATCGCTACGTGTGTACGTCTATCGGCATTTCCTCCATTCGTGATTCCATGCTAACTCCGATACTACTAGCTCTTTGTATCGGGAATAGTGAGTCTATTCGCGCTTTCTGTTTCTATGGGCTTTACTGACTGTTTATCTTTGTAGCGTCAGTTACGAACTCACCCAAGGCGGTCGTCCTACACTCGAGAATACCGAGCAGGCATAGAAAGTATCATGTGAGAGGCGAAGATGGGATACCTGTACCTAGCCCACTCCTTTGTCGATTCTTTCTTATGTATCTAAACGCCACCAGCTCTGGCCTCCAGTGCCACTTCAGAAAGAAGAGCATGATGTCCAGAGATCACGGGGCTTAGTCGAATTGCAACAAAGCAAAGAAAGCAATGAACACCACAAATGGACTTCAAATCTTTGTCTCCTGATTCACATTCATCAAAGACATCAAAGTTTTGATAATGTGATTGAAACATAATGCCTTTGTTCTCACCAAAAGATGCAAGGTACTATGTCATCGCGGAATAATGTTTTATAGCCGGCTAGTCCCATGCATCTGTTGGGCTTCAATCCCCAGTATCCAGCTCAACGACAAAGCAACATTATCTCGCGACTAAAGACCTCGACGAAGTCACTCTCCGCCGGTGTCGCCATCTTCAAAATATCAGCCCTTGAGCATCTAATAGGCTTCGAGGGCTGATCGGTATGTCATATTACATTACCATCCACCATGGCCATGGTGTGGATGAGAGCATTTTGAACAAATGGGTCAATATCACCTTCAGTAAAAGGGATCTGTTTTACCTTCGCACCGACGGAGCGTTGATTTGCTTCATCATTGAACGTATCCGGGAGAGGAAATGCACCATTACTCTTGAGCCCAAGGATCGAAAATCTCGGTGGTGCATCTCGATACCAGCTTCCAGAGCGCATAAAAGCACAAGAGGAGTTCTCGACGACGCTTTACAACTGGCGGAGTGGTACAAGGTCCAGATCCTGAACGGGAATGCAAGTATCAACCGCGAACTGCTATTTGATCGGAATCCTTATCATGAAGGTAAAGAATGTTGTAGAGAGAATGTGTGCGATCGGATGCTGCACCCGGAGTGGTGGGCTAAAGATACTTCTGGAAATACTGGGGATGCTACTGAAGGTGCTGGTGAAGATACGGGTGAAGGTGCTGGTGGGGATACTAGTAAAGACTCCTAGTGTTTTGGCGAAATGAATACATATACAATCTCCATGTCCTTAGTTTTGCTTCGTAATTCCAGTGATCGTTCAACGTTTGAGAGCTTTAGGAGCCCCCTAGATATTATAAGTAGCTAAGAGTCATTTTCAATGTAGCTGTTGTAGCGGGCAGCATGATATTGCCCCCGCTAGAAGTTATACCTTGTTAATTCGTGGAATCCTTAAACCCGGTATCCAGGTGGGCTAATTGCTAATGAAAATTGCTAAAAATGTTGGCTTCACTTGAGAACAGGTCTAGAAGTTCATCGAAACTCCGTACCGAACCGCGTGTCCATTCAACCCCAGGAAGAGTAACTATAGTGTTATGCTAGGTGAAGCTGTTGGACCGACGTCGAGTGTACACATATAGCGGAAATAAGGGCGGATGGTATAGAGATAAAATTATACAGTCATTAACGTCGATTAGGAATGTAGTATTTATTGATACCGAAATGTAGGGGGTATCCCACGCGTTCGAGCCCGGGGGACATCTTTTAATCCCTTGTAGGCTCGGGTCTATTCACACGTCTAACGACACACTAACCCTAGGTTATACATCAAAACAGAAATGCTGCTTCGCGGCCAGGCAAAGCTATTTTATGCCAAATTCAAATGTATATAAGGCAGAGTCAAGTTCGAAAACACTAACTTTTCGTTGATTCGCAGCGAATCCCTTAGAAGCAGAAGACCTGGTCCTCCAGCTTGCTGACGGGGCGGGCCTTGGTGTATCCAAGAGCCTCGGTGGACTTCTTCATGGCGCTGATCATGGGAGGGGGACCACAGAGGAAGATCTTAACATCGGCAGCGGGGGCAGGCAGGCGCTCCTATAAGAAAGTTTAATTAATACCGAGGTAGCACAATCGAGCACAGCATGCAACTTACCTTAATCATATCGGGAGTCACGAAGCCGACACCGCCGGTCCAGCCCTCGGGAGGGTTGTTGAGAACGTAATAGACGCGGAATCCATCGTCCTCCTTCTCCAACTCCTCGAGCTGGTCCTTGAGCAAGATGTCCTCGGGGTTGACGTTGGCGAAGATCAGGTCAACCTTGGTGGTGTCATTACCACCGTTGCGGGGACGGTTGCGGATGATAGCCTTGATAACCTGCAGCATGGGGGTGATACCAGTGCCACCGGAGATCATACCAATGTGGCGGCACATGTTGGGGGTGTAGACCATGGCGCCCTTGGGACCGCGGACCTTCATGTTGTCGCCAACCTTCAGCTCGGTAAGATACTTGGAGATGTTACCCTGGGGGTAAGCCTTGACGAGCAGATCGAAGTATCCGGCCTCATTGTCGGAGGAGATAGGGGTGTAAGAGCGAACAACCTCCTTGGGCTGGCCGGGGATAGTAGCGGCGAGAGAGATGTGCTGACCGATGGGGAGGCCGAGGATATCGGTGGAACGGGGGAGGGCGAAACGGTAGATGGCGACATTGTGAGAGATCTCGTTCTTCTCCTTAAGGACGAAGTTTTGGAACTCAGTGGGGTTCAAGACCTTGCGAGGTTCTGCGATCAATAGGGTCAGTTCAGCCCTTCAGCTCCTTCACCATGCCGATATTTGAATATAAGGGAATTCACGCACTGTTGCTGAATACCAAGTAACCAGCCAAAATTCCAGCCACGGCGATTGCGTAGGCGATAAACTCGGGCTTAATGGCGTAAACACCCGCGATGAGCAGGGCCGAGGGCGCGAGGGCCGTGCCGATGGTGGCGAGACTTGGGGGAATCAGCCATTGCTATGAAAAGGTGAAGAATAGTAACTCACCTCATTATGACAAAGCTCGGAGACTGTATCAAAAAGAAAAAAAAGAAACAGTTACGATAAAAAGCAGAAGGGAAAAAGAGAAGACCTCGGGAGACAGGGAAGATAAAAAGAGATGAGGGGGGCTAAGTCCGCCCAACGGAATTTCCCACCTTTTGGGGTTACCGTTTCCCCGACTTTTCCATTTACTCCTTCTCGAACTTGGCTTATCGGGGTTATTGGACTTATTGGACATAGTGGGGTTATTGAATTATTATTGACGCTGCTTCTTATCCCTTCTTTTCAAATCCATCAAAATGCGCGAAGTACCAGAAGTTGCAGCAGTCCCAGCAGTCCCAGCCTTTAATCTAACGGAATTGGACCACAAGCTCCTGGCCATGACCGATGAGGAGTTCGTATGCCACGACTGGGAAGACTTAAAAAGTATTATCGGTAAGTGTACCCTTATCTCCAAATCTACCCTAGAAACACTTCCCCTCATACCATATTAGCGCGAAATGATCTCGGCGCACTCAAGCGGAAACCTTCCGATCTCCGCCGATACCTAGCCTGGACACAAGAAACCAAAAGCCAGTATGGCACCATCATGAATTATATTTGCCAGCAGCGATTAAAGTGGCATTTACCGGTAAACACTGCCAGCGGCACTGGCTCCGCGGTTATTCAGCAAAGCGGGACCTTCAAGAACCCGCGTCCCTTTGCCGATCCCGAGGACTACAAGATCCTCCGCAATGACTGGCCCTATGGCCTCACCCCCGGAATTTCACATCTGGTTGTGTGGCTGCGTACTCCCATCCCTGTACAATCTAGTGAGGGCCATTTGACCGAGGAATCTCGTGCAATGATCAACAGTTTTGTTCAAAAGACTTTCGTGGACCGGTTGGCTAAGGACCCTCAGAATTTCTCGGACCCTGGCTCCCATGTGCTGTGGTTTAAGAATTGGGTCGGTTTACAGAGCGTGAGGGCATTGGAGCATGTCCATATCTTGGTCCGTGATGTCCCTGAGGATATATTATTCGAATGGGCAAACGAGTGAGGTTCCTGGGATGGTTCCTGGGATTGTTGATAGACTTTCTTGCCCAAATTGGTCAAGTTTATATTCGCATCTGAAGCATTTCGTTTCCAAATTCTTACATTTGACATTTCATAGCGTCATGGATCAAAAAGGACAAATTAAAATAATTAGAAGAGTTCTCGAAAGCTTAAATAAAACTTTTGGTCGGCCCGCAATGAACACAAGTAGGAGTAGCACACTCGTAGACAACCAATTCTACCATGAAGGTCGTGGTTCGTGGTCACCTTGTGGTCTTTCCCCATACTCGATCTTTACCTGATCCGTGCGATGAATCTTGCCGGCGTCCTTCCCGAGTCGATCCGAATTCAATATGCTTTCCTGGCTACCGCTCCTTGTAATCTCAATATTCGTTGTCATGAGGATATCATCGTCGCGATTGTTGCTTGCCGATTTCTTCGTGGGCCTATCCGTGTAAGACCGCAATTTGCCGCTGTCGTATCGCCCGTGAGAACTCCAGGAGCGTTTGCCTCGGATCATTTCATACATCGGACCCAAGGTTGGGATGCAGGAAGCCATGATGACGATGTTCGACTCGATACTGAGAGATGGGAGTCATATATTAGTCTTATACTTGTGTATAAAGGTTGGAGAAAAGCAGGACTGAAAACATACCTCGTCCAGATAACAAGATCTGCTGTTGCGTCTATTTATGCCGTGTCAGCGGGAGATATCTCACTATATGTACGGGAAAAATAACTTACATGTCGAGTCTGCCGTGTTATATAAACCTGGTAGCTGTAGACACTTGACAATAGCCATTGCACAGGCCCTGTATGGACGATTAGCTACTTTCTCCGGACAATAATATCAATCAACTTACACGGCACCCAACCCCAGAGCCGCGCACAGGGCCATTTTTTTCTTAAGCGACATTTGAAGTCGGAGCAATACCACAGTCGGATAAATCGCAAGATATAGATCGACTATCGCAGACAGAACTGAAAAAGGGTTAGTGGTACGTTTGCGAGAGACATCCAACCCACCAACATACCTCCAGTGAAGATTGCATAGCCCACCAGGATCGTGGTCGAACGACATGTCGCCCCTTCACTTATGAGATGAATCTTCCATAAAGCCTGGGGAGGATCACACATGGTAAAGAGAACAATGATGCAGATGGTCGATGCCGCGAACACGAAGCCTGTCAATATCCACAACCATATTCGGTGGAACCTGCTGGGATTCATGATGCGATTCAGGAGAGCAGCGATTGCGAGTTTCGGGGTGGTGAAAGACATGATTCCTAATGCGAAATTTGCGTAATTAAGGACTAGAATGCGTTCAACCAAGTCCATGCCACCTTTTTCCATTAACACAGAGGTATGGCTCCCGTATCCCATAACGACAACCACCGTGGTGAGAATTGTATAACTGGTGACCATAGCCTATTATAGAATCGGTATCTCGTGTGGATCATAGTCAATTGGAAGGTACGTACCATTGCTGCCACGATAATATAGTCATCGAGTCCAATGTTCTTCAACATCCGGGCTCGGATATAAAGTCGCAGGGATACCATCACTGCACTCACACTGTAGAAGGCCCAGAACACCCCTAGAATGCGCGGGCCCTTTTTCTGGTGTATGTATTCGGCGTCCATGGTTGCCATGATGCCGAGAGCAGTGGCTGCTCTGTTGCATATAATAGACTCGCGACAATATTCTCTATCTTCTGCGGCATCCAGAGGACTGAAAACTGCAGAACAGGTGGAGAATCATCATGAAACCTCAAAAGCCGTCAATAAATTATTTCTTAAAAAAATATACTAAAAAAAACACGTATGTACGTATGTACATACTATTATTACAGTACACGCCGAAGGTGATACAGTAGTTGGGGGGCTAACTTCAGTAGCCTGGCAGGGATCATGTTTAGGTGCGTCGACCAATTCCTTCAATAAGAAAGTACCGATCTTATCTCCTAAGATCGAGAGCGGCTTAACAACAAATATTACCTCACTTTTGGCTACTAGAGACTAGAGCGTTGGTGCGTTTCCGCTATACCCCGAATTTGTATGGAATCCATGGATGCCCTCATTTATATGTACAAAATATAGTACATATCAATCTAAAAGGCCCCAGTCTTGCCAAGTAGAACTCGCGTAATATCTTAGCTTTAGTCGAATTCCTAGGAACTAGTCAATGCGTAAGAATCCTTCGTGGGGCCGATTGTCTGGCACTATGTGGAGCTATCAAAGGCTCCAGAATTAACTCGGTTAGACACAATGGCTCTATGTACTTCGTATTTAATATAAACTTGCCGATTTACCCCGAAAATACCTTATTAAGTAATTAGATAGCCAATTGATATCCCTGTCACTTGGGAATAAATTACAACACTAAACGTGCAGGGATTGTAGTCCTCAGGGGTTTGGGAAATTTGGTGTTGCGTGTTGACACCTGGAATCTAATGTAGCACGAGTCCCTGTCATCGTGGGGATATTCTTTTTAATTTCACCTGTCCCCTGTCCCCTGTCCCCTGTTCTCCTGCATATGCATTGCAGCAAGCACAGTCGATCATGACGTCCTCCAATAGTAATGGAGATTTGAATGGCTCGGTCAATGGCAATGCCACAAATGTAGAGGGTCTTGCTCTCACCTCAAACCTGCCAGATATAGTGCCTGCTCTCCTTCAAACGGTTGCGGGTCATGGCAAAGATCTCCTCGCCCAGGATCCCGAAGCACGGCTTAAGCTACTAGAAGCGGCCCGATCATTGACCTATGCATTGGAAACTCCCCGAGAGGCCATTATTCGACACTGTTGGTCTGAGGTGTGTTATCACATATTATTCCGTGCTTCCGAAAACCAGTTAGGATTATTTGGACTGACAGATGTTGCTTTTTTTTTTTAGTCTACGAGTTACGCAGCCCTGGAGACCGCCGTTGATATAAACCTCTTCTCTGCTCTCGGCACAGATGACAAACCGAAGACTGTCGCAGAGCTTGCTAAGGCAACCAGCGTGGATCCAATCCTGCTCGGTCAGTAATATATTTACACACCACCAAGTACCAATATCTGACAAATTCGTGTAGGGCGATTGATGAAGCATCTCGCTGCAATGGGAACGATAACCGAGACCGGCTACAATGAGTACAGTCCCACTGGGTTCTCAAAGGTTCTCACAGTTGAGAGATATAGCGACGCATTCCCGCTCATGTAGGTTGATAATTGGTACTCCATACCCCGAATCACGACTAACAAGATTAGGACCCATCGCTTCACCAAAGGCATTATGGCTCTCCCAGCCTTCCTCAAGAAGAACAACTACCAAAACCCCACAAGTCCCACTGATACAGCATTCCAGATGGGTTATGACACAGACATGGGGTTCTTCGGACACGTGCAACAAGAACCGCTCACCGCAAAGCAGTTTAACAACCACATGTCAGTCTACGCACAAGGCCGAGTCCGCTGGATGGATCCCGGTTTCTACCCGGTCCAAGAGCAGCTTATAGATGGGATCACCATCGGCGAGGACGATGTCCTGCTCGTTGATATCGGAGGTAGCTTCGGTCATGATCTGTCTGATTTCCGTCGGAAATGGCCTGGCGCCCCCGGTCGTCTGGTGCTGCAGGATCTTCCTGAGGTGGTGGTTTCGGTTAAGGATTTGCATCCCTCTATTGATGTTACTGGTCATGATTTCTTTACCGAACAACCAGTCAAAGGTACGGAAATAGAAGAGTCCCCTATTTCCTTGTGGATTGCAATTTGATTGTCAGTTGCTGGAATATACTAACATTCTATCTGTACAGGAGCCCGCGCGTACTATATGCATTCTGTTCTCCACGACTGGCCCGATGACCTTTGTCGCAAGATTCTCGCTAACACTGTGGCTGCTATGAAGCCCGGCTATAGTAAGTTATTGGTGAATGAAAATGTCATTCCAGACACGGGGGCCTACTGGGAAACAACAAGTTTGGATTTGATCATGATGGAAATTGGATCTGGTGAGCGTACGGAACGACAATGGCATGCATTGCTGGAGTCTGCTGGACTGAAGATTGTCAAGATTTGGACTGCCCAGAGGGGTGTGGAGAGTTTGATTGAATGTGAGCTAGCTTGAACTACAAAAACATGTTGTACAAGTTGCCCAAGCAAATTATACAGTGTTGACAAAATGCCGCTCTGTCAAATATATATATATATATCATGGCACATAACAATGCCATTTATGTAGGTAAATAACTGCCGTCTATAATTAATTGAGGTGTACATATAACTACGCTGCAAGTATTGGAATGAAAATATGCTGTGTAATAAAAAAAAGGGTTCGGTATCAGAATACGCCAGCCAGCTAGTCCATCGAAGCAAATGTTGATTACAATATACAAAGAGCACACCTGGGAAATACGACGATCAGGTCTTCTGCTCCTCCACGAACTTCAAAGCCTCCTCGCGCGAGACAACATCAATAGTACTGGCCTTTTGCCTGAAGCTTACACCATAGCACTTCTCTGCCACGTGGAGCATTTCAGGTCGGAAGGTAGTGCAGATGAACTGCCCGTTGGTCGAATCCGAGATAGACTTGAGCATCTGTGCAACGGCTGTGCGGTACTGGGCATCCAGGTTGGCGTCAATCTCATCGAATAGGTAGAATGGTGCAGGGTCACAAGCCTGGATGGCGAAAACAAGTGCGAGAGCGCAAAGACCTATGGTAAGTTAGTTAGTAACTGCAAGACAAAATGCAGATTCGGACTGGAAATGCTTACTCTTCTGTCCACCACTCAGCTGCTGAATACGCTGCTGATCATCGTGCTTGCTATTGAAGCTCACACTGATGCCGACACCGACGTAGTTTTCGACGCTCTGCCGAGCTTCCTCGTCATCTGAGTCAACATCGTCATCGAGTCGTGTGGCACGGTCTGTCTTCCTTTGAATGATAAGACGACCACGACCGGCGGGAACGAGCTTCTCGAACACGTTGTGGAATTCGCGTGAGACTTGCTTGAAGGTCCGCTCAA